ATCCTGGGACACTGCAACCATTATAAATACATTCTGTTTACAAACACCTGAATCATGATCATGTGATCATGAGAAAAGGAACAGTTGTAAGTCACTTTTTCGAGCAAATAAATAATATATATTGCGACTATTTCTGAAATATTATTATGTTTCTCTGCTGCCAGTTGCAAGACAAACCTGAAAATACATTATTCAAGTATCAATCTATGACAAGTGACTATCTTGCTTGATTGGATTTCATTTATTTAAAACACATCATATTCAATAAGAAAAACTAATAAAAAGCTATTGAATGTAAAGCTAGTATAATCCCAAATATTAAGGAGATTTTTTTTCTCTAACTTGAATTAGAAGGAAGGTTATGCATCTTTAGTGATTACAATTCAGACATTGTTAAAACATATTTCCATCTATAATAAATTAATCAGCCTGGCATCCTAATTCTGACCCTATTTATAGCCATTACGTTATGCATTGCAGTTATTCAAAGAGCTGATTATAATTTGAAAATCTTAAAGCAGTAAATGAATAACTTTCAGGTGTTTGAACTATTAACTTTGTGAAGCACACTGATTTAGTTGTGCTTCTACATAAAAATGGGCTATGTTGGATCCTTGTTTATGTGTTCTTAATGAAGAATATTAATATATATTATATTACATATAAATATGAATTTCTTGGATTTTTCCCTTTTAATTTTCTAGTTTGTAAAAATTCAGTAAGAAAAAAAACCCCTCCAAATGATCATTGCATAAAATTGGAGGCCACTTTTTATAGTCTTGTTTCTCATTAAATAACACAGTTTTGGAGCCAGATTTGATTTCCAGGTTTATTAAATTGATTACCCCCATCCAAAAATAAGCTTAATTTAATGCAAGTTAATACTCTAGGGTCTTCAAGTAACATATAAGTAAAGAGGTTATTCTCCTGTAAAGGTCTTCAGTTGGAGCAGAGAACCTTTTAGGATTGAGGACTGCATTTAGTCTTTGAATATGGGATGCCATATTCAAATAGTTCAGGCCTAAAACAAAACTCCCCTTTATGGATTACTGCCTTGTCGTGGCGAAGGGGCTTGCGTAACTCAATGAAGCTATAAGCTATGCCGTGCAGGGCCACCCAAGACGGACAGGTTATAGCAGAGAGTTCTGACAAAATGTGATCCACTGGAGAAGGAAATGGCAAACCACTCCAGTATCTTTGCCATGAAAACCCCATGGACAGTACTAAAAGGCAAAAAGATATGACGCTGGAAGATGAGCCCCTCAGGTCGGAAGGTGTCCAATATGCTACTGGGGAAGAGCAGAGGGCTAGTACTAGTAGCGCCAGAAAGAATGAAGCGACTGGGCCAAAGCCGAAAGGACGCTCAGCTGTGGATATATCTGGTGGTGAAAGGAAAGTCCGATGCTGTAAAGATTTTTTCTCCATAGGAACCTGGAATGTAAGATCCATGAATCAAGGCAAGCTAGACGTAGTCAAAAAAGAGATGACAAACTGAACATCGACATCTTAGGAATCAGCGAACTAAAATGGACAGGAATGGGTGAATTTAACTCAGATGACCATCAGGTATACTACTGTGGGCAAGAATCCCTCAGAAGAAATGGAGTAGCCTTCATAGTCAATAAAAGAATAGAAAAGCAATACTGGGATACAATCCCCAAAATGACAGAATGATCTCAATTCGAATCCAAGGCAAACCATTCAATATCACAGTAGTCCAAATCTATGCCCCAACCACTGGTGCTGAAGAGGATGAAATTGACCGGTTCTATGAAGCCCTACAGCACCTTATAGAAATAACACCAAAAAATGATGTCCTTATCATCATGGGGGATTGGAATGCTAAGGTAGGAAGCCAAAAGATAACCGGAATAACAGGCAAGTTTGGCCTTGGAGTACAAAATGAAGCAGGGCACAGGCTAATAGAATTTTGTCAAGAGAATACGATGGTCATAACAAACACTCTTTTCCAACAACCCAAGAGACGGCTCTACACATGGACATCACCAGACGGTCAACATAGAAATCAGATTGACTATGTACTCTGCAGCCAAAGATGGAGAAGCTCTATACAGTCAGTAAAAACAAGACCAGGAGCTGACTGTGGCTCAGATCATGAGCTTCTCGTTGCAAAATTTAGGCTTAAATTGAAAAAAGTAGGGAAAAGCACTAGGCCACTCAGGTATGAACTAAATCATATTCCTGATGAATATACAGTAGAGGTGACAAATAGATTTAAGGAATTAGATCTGATAGACAGAATGCCTGAAGAACTATGGATGGAAGTTCGCAACATTGTACAAGAGGTAGCAACTAAAACCATCCCAAAGAAAAAGAAATGCAAGAAAGCAAAATGGCTGTCTGAGGAAGCTTTGCAAATAGCTGAGGAAAGAAGGGAAGCGAAAGGCAAAGGAGAAAGAGAAAGATACACCCAATTGAATGCAGAATTCCAGAGAATAGCTAGAAGAGATAAGAATGCCTTCTTAAATGAACAGTGCAAAGAAATAGAAGAAAACAACAGAACAGGGAGGACCAGAGATCTCTTCAAGAAAATTGGAGATATGAAGGGAACGTTTCATGCAAAGATGGGCATGATAAAGGACCAAAATGGCAGAGACCTAACAGAGGCAGAAGAGATTAAGAAGAGATGGCAAAACTACACAGAAGAACTATACAAGAATGAGCTTAACATCCCAGATAACCACAATGAGATGGTCATTGACCTCGAACCAGACATCCTAGAATGTGAAGTGAAATGGGCCTTAGAAAATCTGAGCAACAACAAAGCTAGTGGAGGTGACAGTATTCCAGCTGAGCTATTCAAAATCTTAAAAGACGATGCAGTAAAAGTGCTACACTCAATTTGCCAGCAAATTTGGAAAACTCAACAGTGGCCACAGGATTGGAAAAGGTCAGTTTACATCCCAATTCCAAAGAAAGGCAATGCCAAAGAATGTTCAAACTATCGCACCATTGCACTCATTTCACATGCTAGTAAAGTTATGCTTAAAATCCTACAAGCTAGACTCCAGCAGTATGTGGATCGAGAACTACCAGAAGTACAGGTAGGATTTCGAAGAGGCAGAGGAACTAGAGATCAAATTGCCAACATACGCTGGATCATGGAGAAAGCTAGGGAGTTCCAGAAAAACATCTACTTCTGCTTCATTGACTATGCAAAAGCCTTTGATTGTGTGGATCACAACAAATTGTGGCAAGTTCTTAAAGAGATGGGAGTACCAGACCATCTCATTTGTCTCTTGAGAAACCTATATGCGGGTCAAGAAGCAACAGTGAGAACGAACACGGAACCACTGATTGGTTCAAAATTGGAAAAGGAGTCCGGCAAGGCTGTATACTGTCGCCCTGCCTATTTAACTTATATGCAGAGCACATCATGAGAAAGGCAGGGCTAGATGAATCAAAAGTTGGAATTAAGATTGCCGGGAGAAATATCAACAACCTAAGATATGCAGATGATACCACTCTAATGGCAGAAAGTGAAGAGGAACTAAAGAGCCTCTTGATGCGGGTGAAGAAGGAGAGTGCAAAAGTTGGCTTGAAACTCAACATTAAGAAAACCAAAATCATGGCATCCGGCCCTCTCAATTCCTGGCAAATAGATGGGGAAGAAATGGAGGTAGTGACAGATTTTATTTTTCTGGGCTCCAAGATCACCTCAGATGGGGACTGCAGCCAAGAAATTAAAAGACGCTTGCTCCTGGGGAGGAAAGCTATGGCAAATCTAGACAGCATTCTAAAAAGCAGAGACATCACCCTGCCAACAAAAGTGCGTATAGTCCAGGCCATGGTTTTCCCAGTTGCAATGTATGGCTGTGAAAGTTGGACCATAAGAAAGGCTGAGCGCAAAAGAATTGAGGCCTTTGAACTATGGTGCTGGAGAAGACTCCTGCGAGTCCCTTGGACTGCAAGGCGTTCAAACCGGTCAGTCCTAGAAGAGATCAACCCCGACTGCTCTTTAGAAGGCCAGATCCTGAAGTTGAAACTCAAGTACTTTGGCCACCTAATGAGAAGGAAGGATTCACTGGAGAAGAGCCTAATGCTGGGAAAGATTGAGGGCAATAGAAGAAGGGGACGACAGAGAATGAGATGGCTGGATGGAGTCACTGAAGCAGTAGGTGTGAATTTAAATGGACTCCAGAAGATGGTAGAGGACAGGAAGACCTGGAGGAATGTTGTCCATGGGGTCGCGATGGGTCGGACACGACTTCGCAATTAACAACAACAAAAAACAAAACTATGCTTGATTTAATCCAGTTTATATTTACTTTATTCTTTCCAGCATCTTCCTAGCATAGGAAGCATAGAAAGCTAGTGAACCTTTTTCTAGTCTTCCGAACAATCATGAAAGCTGGTGCCATTCTTGCCATCATTCAGAAGGTTCCTTCTCATTCTGTAGGTGGGCAACTATGTTTCCTTTGGAGCATAGTGGCTTTCTCCTTGCAATCCTGATATGCACACGGTTATTGTTCAATGCTTTCATGATGGTGGGTTTATGAACATGGCCATTCACCATTGCAAGAGAGAACTTTAGTTTCTTAGGCATTACCCTGGGATCCCGATTTCCTGGAATATTAACATGCTCTTGGTTGTGGGATCTTGTTGGTTATTTGACCACTCCGCGAAAGAGTAACAGTGGTGTTGAATTGTTTTCCTTTGAGTATCAACCTCTGTTTTTCAAAGATTTTCAGAAATGTCCTTTGTTCATGCCGTAGCACACTTCTGCATACTTGTGTTTGGAAGATCAGACTTTGATAGTGAATACCCAAAATTCTATTCTTTAAGTAAGGCAGGACCTCCCACACTCACTCCTAATTATCATCCTATTAACTGAAACATCTGAGTCTAATTTCCCTTTTAAATGAACTGATAATCCTAGAAGTTCACATATTCTTGCCACAAACAGATAGTCATGTGACTCTGTGTGTGTGTGTGTGTGTGTGTGTGTGTGTGTGTGACTTTTTATGATAGCCAGAAATGTTTACAGGCCATAAATCACCCTTTCTGAGAATCTTGTAACTCCATTGTTAAATGAGCAGTTGTAAATTGATGACTACCTATGTAAGTTTTAAATGGCATTGGCAATGTGTCTTGAATGCAGTCTTCTCCGATGTAGCTTTAAGTAGTGCCAAACTGCAAATTAGGATGAGTAGTTCCTGTATTATTTTCACTCTGTGTGTATTTATGTTTGCAAGATCCAGGTATTTGTGAGTTTCTGTTTTGATCAGGAAGGCAGTGTGCAGGGAACAGAACTTAAAATATTGTGCCCAACTCTATTACATTTACAACGTATCTTTAAAATAATGCTGGGGAAAATCAATGAGTTCAGGTATTGGCAATTTGTTTTTAGATTGCTACATGAAGTATTTAGTGAACTGTTTAAAAAGAACTCATGCTTTATTCACATGAGCATATTATAAAGGAAAGCTCTCTTTTACAAACTTTGCTCTAGATTGTTAAACATTTCTAGGAAGTAATCATATTAAACATTTCTAGGAAGTAATCAAATCAGCTGGGAATCTTGTGGCATCTTAAAAACCTTCATCCCTTCTCTCAGGATTGGCCTAGAACATTATGAAAAAATGAACTCTAGTTTGAAGTGAAGACTTGAGTATGGCTACATTCCTAATTGATGGTTGATTAGTTAGCTAAGTTAGTGCTTCATAGCAAGGCTGAAGGGGTAAGGGTAAGTCAGTGAAGTGAGGTGAAAAGAGGGTGACAAGCTAGAAGAAGTTATTGCCAACCAAACAGAACATTTTTTTAACCTTTTTGTTTTAAAGAAACGATAAGCCATGAACATTGTCTCAGGAAATTCAGAAATGTTGCTATAAAATAGTGAAAACAACCATTTTGCCCTCCTTGGGAGAGAGGAAAGAAAATCTCATGACCTGTAGTTCACTTCAAGCAAAGGTAAACTGCTTCACTTTGTTTATCAATGGCATGAAAATGAAGTAAATTTGGCCAATATAAGAAATGTGTTGTGTTGCATTTTATATCAAGTTTTATGGAAGAGCAATTTTGCGTGCATTTCATCCTGTATATATGGTCACCTGTGTGTTGAAAACATGCAGTGCATCTCTTGTATCCTTGGACCTCAGAATATTGCTTATTTCTGGATTACATTCACTTTACTTGATAATATAAATATAACTTATATGTTATGTCTGAATAAATTGTTTTATCTTTAAGAGGTTGGAAAACTTATTGTTTTAAATGTATTAGTTTTATAGTTCTTGGGGAAAATATTTTTTCTAATATTAAATTATAATAATTTAAAATTATTGGAAAAGTTTGTTATAAAATGTCAATATTTTCATACCTGCACTTTTCCATTTTTTAAAAAAATATTCTCTTTGTACTGTACTATTATAGTCTATCTTTGGAAAGATACATAATAAACATTTAAGCAGTTAAATATTTAAGTAAGTTGTTGGCAGCTTTTCTGTTATGTAGGTTACATGCTGTGTTTTATTGTATTAGATTTGGTAAGATTTCATATGCATGTATGGTCTTGGATTACAAAATCTTATGCAAAGAGTGGCTATAAATATATATATTCGATTGTAGATTGCAGCATTTTACAGTGAAGATGTTGTAAATACAATTGATGGTTGGTTGGTTTTCTTAGATATTGCTGCTTCATATATGGCCTGTTCCAATTGTATAATCATTTTTAGCTAACTGGGGATATTTGTGATGAATGTTTTTTCATGGAAATAGGTATTAGCATGTTGCCTATTAGCAATCTAGCCATCCATCCATATCTTTTGATATATATGCAAAAGTATTCCTCATTTCTTCCTAATTCTAGGAAGTTTTTTAGAATAGTATTTCATAAGACACAATTGAAAGCAATATTTCAGATACAAGGTTAAATGTTGAAAATATTCTTAACCTTTTAGAATTGGCATGGTATGGCTATTACAGGATCATAATATTTTATTTATTGAAGGCTGCCTTTCAGGCAGATATTTATATCTTAGGTAGAACTTGAATCAGGATGTGGCTTAAATCTGGCAGGAATTAGTTTGGGAGAAAAATGACATTGCTTCTTTGGATTTCACTTACCACTTTTTTTAGCTGCTACTTCATTAGATACTTTCTTTTGTTTATTTTTCAGTGCCTTTAACAAAATCAAAGGCTGTAGCTTAGATTTATCTCAAGCAGCAACTCCATGGAAAATTAAACTTAACTCAGTTTTAATTAAACTTTCATTTTTGTAATTTATAATCTATGCAGAGAATTATAGCAGTTAAATTAGGGAAGTAAGCATGGTCTTTGAACAATTGTTGATAAATATAATGACAGTTAATAAGAAACCACTGTCTTTATAGTCATTGTTAGTCTATGCAAATCATTGTTGTGGGCAAAGGATTCAAACTTCTAAGTTGGCAGGGTTTCTGAAAATCAGTAGTTTCTGAGTTATCTAAAATAAGAATGACAATTAGTTTCTCCAGATGGTGAGTTTAGAATCAAAAAGTTAACAGATATCAAAGCAGGCAACTAGATGCATCTAGGCAGCTTACAGGAGAAAATGATAAAGATTTGAAGCCAACTTGAAATTAAGTATGTGAAGTAGGTAATATGTAAACATAAAAATTATTGTCTATTTCTGTTAAACCATCTTAAGTGAGACCATCATCACATCTGGTATCATCAAATTCTCCAGTACAGGAGATGGATAATCCATGGATGGGTTTTCTCTGTCTGCCTGCTCTTGAGACCAAGTAGCCAAAGCTTGACACGCCCCCACTTCCTGTGGAGTCCATTCTTAACTTGGTCTCTGCTCGGAGAAGACTCGTTTTGGCGTGGCTCTCAGCTTATCAGGTTAGACAAGAAATCCATTGATTGATTATCCCTTGATAATTGGCTTCCCCTTCCCAAAAAAAAATTTTCCACCTATAGGAATTTAACCACAAAATTTTCTGGGGATCAGTCCTGATCTCAAACCTAAAATTAAAAAGGGGATTGGTGGGGAGGGAAATTTCCCCACAGATATCAGCCAGCCCCAGGGCTCTGGGGGGTGAAAAGGGGGGGAAGAAGGCATCAGCAGAGACTACTTGCTGAACCTTTTCCCCAACCACTAAGTTTTCCTTGGGATCATCCCTGATCCTATATTAAAATTGAAAAAGGGGGTGTGGGGGGGGAAAACTCCCCACGGATCCCAGTCAGCCCCAGGGCTCTGGAGGTGGAAAAGGGGGGGGGGAAAAGGCATCAGCAGAGACCACTTGCTGAGCTTTTCTCCCCAACCTTCCAAGGGATTTTTTCCTCAAATTGGGGGAAAAAATAACAATCTCCAGGTCCGGATTCAAACTTGAATTCGGATCATCGGAGATTCCCTAGCAGCCCAGGGCAACCGCGGGCGCCATTTTAGTTGCCGTTTTCAGACAACAAAGGCAATCCCTGGCTGGGATTACCTTAAAACGTCACAGCGCGCCAAATTTAAATCCCCGGGCACAAGCAGCTTCTGGGAGGCTGCGGAGCTTATCTTCAGAGGGAAACGAAGCACAGGAAGGGAGTAAGCCAACCAAGAAACGGAGGCTAGAGAACCCTCCTGGGATCTGCAAAGCCCTTTTTCAGGGAGAAACGAGCTGTGGCTGCCATCTCTTGCCAGAGAAAGGCAAACCAAGCTTAAGGAAGCTCTACATCATATCTGGAATCACTGATAGAGGCGGAATAGGAGCACACAACCAGCGTTCCACCCCCGATACACATATATAATAATAGGACAAAATATAATAATAATAAAAATAGATACATAAATTTTAATAATAATAATAATAATAATAATTAAAAAAAAATTTTTTTTTTAAAGCTAAAAATTAAGCGACTGCAGGGCCAACAGGCCTAAAGACAGAACACACAATATTATCATCATCACCATTATTGTTGTTGTTGTTATTATTATTATTTTACTATTATTGTTGTTCCTATTATTAGTATAATAGTAATAGTATTAATAAGAATAAATTCCGCTCTAGGTGACCGCCATTTGATACCTGCTGTGTATTAAGTCAGGCCTACAGACCCTTTTGAGGTCGCCACTGATATTTTTTGCCTCCCTTTTCCTTTTTCTACTGGTGCACGTTGCCTGGTCACCTAAGGCCTCCGGGCGGAACCCAAAGAGTGGTTCCAAACGTGCCTTCGGTACCTCCCTCAGCTACCGTGACCTTAGCCCAGAGAGAATATTTTTGTTGTGGTCGGGTGATCAGGGGAACAGTCCTGGTACTTGTTCCAATTTCGCTCCCGCCAATACTTGCCTGCCTGAGCGTCTTCTCAGTTTTTCTGGGACTGCTCAAGCGGAATGGAGGGACCCTCGTTGCCTCAATCCATGAGCACGACCCCTCCACCTCCCAATTACGGCTGCAACACACCTTCTGACCAGAAGGCGGCAGGCAAGTGCAAAGCGAAGACAAAACACTCGCTCAAGAGGCCCTCCAAGTTGGCGGAAAAGCAAGCCAGCCGTAGGCACCAGGCCCTGGAGAAGGAGTTCTCCAGAGCGCAGAGGCAGGCCCAATTGGAATTGGTTCAAATGGCGGCCACCGAGATGGAATTACCATTGGGTCCATCCACATCAACCCAGAGCGCGTGGTCCATTCCAGGAACACCGCAACCACTGGACCCGCCATCTACATCAGCCCAACAAACAACCACGGCGGCAGGCACAACCACTGAGTCCAACTCTCCACCTGCGGTCACCACACCCAAAGGTAATGACATAGGGGACATCTGGGCAGATGGACGGCTAGAGGCCCTATTAACCAAAGTGGTGGACCGAGCCCTAGCACAGCGCTCCGCCCACCACGACCAGGGGCCCTCCATCTCAGCCATGCCACACTCGGAACTCCCCTCAGAGTCCTCAGGCATTCAGGAACCCGTCTCCCCGGCCCAGTCCTCCATGAGTGGTTATTCTTCACCACAAGAGGAGGATCAACCTGGGATCTCTATGTCAGAGGATGAGGAACTTCCCCCTGAGCCCCCCTCAGGGGGATTATTTAATCCCAACCGCTTCCTCACGATACTACGCAAGGCCACAGCCATTGCGGACATGGGGACGGATCAGTTTTCTCAGCCGCAAGCGACACCGGCCACCACATCCAGACCCGTATTCGTAGAAAAGGTGACAACGCAACACCATATACCTTGCCCCGCCATTTTCCTGAAAGGGATCAAGAAGCCATGGGACTCTCCCGCTTCCTTCCCATCAGTGAGTGGTACGGACAAAAAATTATACAGCACTGCCACAGACCTCAATGAGGCCTTAGAAATTCCTAAAGTAGATGAAGCCTGGACCCCCTTGGTCTCCCAGACAGCCATGGCTGGGGACCTAGTGGAGGCCCTTAAGGCAGATGACAAAAAGTGGGAACAAGCCTTTCGCAAAACCCACCAGACAGCGGCATGGGCCATCAAAGCAGCCACCTCGGCCTCCTTTTTTGTCCGGGCCACCCTCATCTGGTTGCAACAACTACAAACCATAGTTCCTATGGAGGACATACGAACACACCAGGACCTGGCTAAGATGGTAGCAGCCACGGAATACGCTGCAGACGCAACGTTCCAATCGGCCATTTTTTCATCCAGATCCATAGCATCCAACATAATTGCCAGGAGAATGCTATGGCTAAAACACTGGCAAGCTGACACCAAGGCTAAGTGGCGGCTAGCGACCGCCCCTTACTCAAGCAACGGTCTGTTTGGGGAGGCCTTGGACCCCTATCTTGTAGAGAACAAAGACAAGCGGAAGGTCATGGCACACTTGAACAAAAGGTCAGACAAACGTACCACACCTTACTTTCGTAGGCAGTCCTTTCGTCAACCGACAACCACGCCTATCAGTCAGGCACCCAAGCCATTCACTCCCAGGCAGAACAAACCGTACGGCCGCCCCTACGACAGACCGGGGTTCCAGC